CTCTTTCTTTCAAGAGGAATTCTCAGCACACAGGAGTCGAATTAATCTGGAGATTGGCAATACAGTGATTTCTTCTTGCTTGTCCCTTTAGTTTTTTTTCATCCTCGTTCTATCTATGGTAGCTGGGTTCCACTCAGCTGATATTTTGTGTTGTCTCTGGCACTATGAAATTTGTTGTTTGGGCCAACAAATTTCTGCTCTTTACTTGTGCTGACAAGTCCCATTCTCTCACTGCTGACCTCAACCACTGCTGGGGCACTAAAAACTTACTATGTAGCTTTTTTTGTTAAAGTCATAGTGACACAATCAGTGCTGGTTTACAGAAAATGAGATTCTAAGTGCTCTGTGCTCAAGAATAAGGGTTGCAGCAGCAGCAACCTGTGATAATGCAGAATCAAAGCCCTCTAGCAAAGAATACACTTCCATTTAGTCCCAGTAGACTTCAAACTTACTTCTACAGCAAAGAAAGTGTTAATGGGATGAGAAAAAGGGTAGTTTCTTCCACGTGGGCAGAACCTGACTGGGCACGGCGAGGTCATCACTGTTTTTATCAGTAGTTTAGGTCCTTTACATTGACCATATCCACTGAAATAATATGATTTTTTCATATGCTTATGAAAACACAGAATCAAGTTAACTCACCTCAAACTACTAAACACATTGGCAGCGTCTAGAGTGAGCTTTCCAAAGGCAACCATTGCTGATGTAACATTATGCTGTCTTTTCTTGCCAACGTACATGAGATAGCCACATTTACATGCAAATGTTCAACTGTATGATGGTTTACTCTAAAAAGTCAACTCACACTCCTATTTTTGCTTTCTACTGGCTTCTGTTCAGCTGTGAGGCTTTTTTTACAGTATGTGGCCTGTTTTAGGTTGCACTCTGTAACTTAAAAATAAAAAGTCTGTCAGCTCCCCTAAAAGTCTTTGCTGGCATCTCACAAACTGCCATTGTTGTAGATTGTGGCAACTCGATTTCTTCTAGCTTTAGCCAGAGGTTTCATGAACCACAATTATACTTGATGCTGCCATGAAGTCAAAAGTATTTTCAACCTACCTCTTAGATGACTTTCAGACTGAGTATAACAGAAGCAGCTTAGGGAAGGAGTAACTGAAAAGTAACTTGTATTTTCTACATTTTCATCCATTATTCAAACTAAGGGGCCTATGTATGGATATCCACAGCAACCACAGGTCTTCCCCTTTCACAAATGCTGAAAATTCTTGCCCCTAAAACATAGCCAGCTGGGTGTTTACTCATATATATAAACACGTCTATGTGTGTGTACATACAGGGCAGTGAGGCCCTGGCACAGGCTGCCCAGAGAAGCTGTGGCTGCCCCCTCCCTGGAAGGGTTCAAGGCCGGGTTGGACGGGGCTTTGGGCAACCTGGGCTAGTGGAAGGTGGCCCTGCCCATGGCAGGGGGTGGGACTAGATGAGCTTTAAGGTCCCTTCCAACCCAAACTACTATGATTCTACACACACACCCCCCACAGCAAGGTATTTTTAATTCAAGTGTTACCGCACTTTTGGCTAACAGAAAAACATACCTGATTAGGGGTTAATATAACATGGACACACTTATATAAGGTCATTCCAGTTACATTCAGACATTCACAAAATTAATTTATCAAGAGACTTACTATAAGAATCTCCAAAGGTTAAGACTGGCAAGCGTCCTGAAAAAATAAAAATATTCCACCTTCAAAACTGCCTTTCACTTCTGATTTTCAAGTTGTACCACTAACAGCTATTACATTGCAGTACTGTGGACAATATGTTTTTTCCTAAAATAATAATAAATATTTCTAAGGACAGCCATTAAATTAAAAAAAAAAAAAAAAGGCACATCTGTTGTGTGTTACTCATGAGTGTAAATATTAGGAAGTAGCGAAAAACCAGACAACTTAACTGAAAAGTCTTCAATAATAAACAGGTTAGCTTATTTAAAGTCTTTCACAAGCACCTTTTTCGTATGATTAGGGCCAATAGTCTTTTGATCAGAACAGGCTGGCCTCCCTCTTTATGTTCGCAAGCAAATGGAATTTGTGAAAGGTCAGAAATGAAGCTGGAAGGAGCAGAAAGAGCTTAGGATGAGGTAACAGACAAGAACAAAAAGAAAGGCTCTCGTCTGATGCTAAAGCCAGTCAGAAATGAGGAAGATGGTGGCTCAGAGAACAAAACACAAGATATTTTAATTTAGAACACCTTTTCAACCCAAATAACCTGAAAAGCAGGATCTGGAGTAAATTTTTTACTGGTATTACCCAGATAGGCATCTCCAACCCACTCTGCTATTCTGTGGCAGGTTTAATTTCTTTGTTTTTAAACATGGGGTACAGAGGTAAAGCACAACAAACCAACTTTTCAGAAGCAGAATAAAAACCTAAAGTTTCAAAACCAAAAATTTATCTCATGAAAGAACCTCTCCTTAATCTAAAGGCAAACGAGTCCACTTGCATTTTGAAACACTCCTTTGTCTTCTGAATACAGAATTACAGATTAGGATACAGCCAGTCAAAGATGTAAAGGGTATGAAAAAGTCAGTGACATTCAGCCTTCTCTGAAGTTTAACCCCAAGGCCCATGATAAACTGCATCTTCCCAGCCTCACTCTGTTTACCTTTTCTCCTGTGCTAAAAGCTTAACAGCTTACAGTTGAAAATCTGGCATCTTTCAGCATTTCTCCACTGAATTTACTTGGAACCATGCAAAGTTACAGGAGCTGAAAATTTAACACACCAATTCAAATAATTGCAAGAGGTACAGCAAATTTGTTCTTAACTGTCCATAAACATCCTCACGCCTGTTATTAATGAGGGTGGGGGTGTTTTTTTTGTTGCTTTTATTCATTAAATATCCTGAAGGAAAAAAATCCTTTTTGTTAGTGTAAACATAGAAGATACAAATCTGTCTGAGATGTAATTAGACAAGATAACAGTTCTCCCAAACTGGGCACTGAAAGATGAACTCAAACCTAAAAAGTCAGAGCAATGCTAACACGTCAGCTGAACTTCAGCTAGTGATCCCATGAGCAACAATCCTCCTGATATTTCTATCCACGTTACAGAACTGTTCAGGATCTCAAAGGATGCAATTTTAAGGTAATGACAGGTTTACAAAGGACTTTATTTTAGGATAAGAGCAGACCCATTTCCTCTTTCAGTATGCTTCCATATGCCACAAATAAAACGATTTATCAAAGGATTTTTCCTCTCAAAGGTAATAAAGAGCTCTTTTTAACATCTAACATGGCATTCAAGCTTCTCCCGATGAATTGCATACTTCAGGGAAATATTTTTTTTTTCCATCCAGGAAAAAAAATCCTCTCACTTTTACCACAAAAATTACATTTTTCTCCGGAAAATTTTGTACATGTAATTTGGAGGCAGAACTTAGTAAAATGTAGAGAAGCAGCGTATCAACTTTGTTTGCAACAGAAAACATAATGACATCGTAACTGCAGAGCTTGGGTGTCTCCAAACCAGATAAAGATCAACAGAGATGTTCATCTACGACGACTTTACTAAGAAATCTAAGAAGTTCTTATATAAAAGGAATCTGGATGAAACTTTTTCCAGTCAGCTTCATCCAAGGAGAAATAAATCCGAGTAACACAGCCCTGAAACCACAAAAAACAAGCACTAGAAACATGAATGTAAAGAGGAGGTTCTGGACATGACTACCCAAAGGAACCACGGCTGAAGAGCTACACTAAGCTTTCCCTTGCAGCTTTCTATGTCACCTTGGCAAGCTGCAGCACCACTGAGGGACCATATTTGAATTTTAACAACTCTCCCAACACCCAGCTCCAGAGCTGCCTAAATATTTCCTTTTAATTACTCTTCCCTGAAAAGAGAAAACAGACAAAATATATATTCACTCTGGAAAAGTTACAATGCAAGTAGTTTTAGGATGTTTCAGTTTTAAGCAAGTAGACTTTCAAATCTTAGTAAGACCATTGCTCTGGTTTACAGGCATCACAAAATGGATTTGTGCGTGCAGAGGGAGGAGAGAAACAGCTGAATCTCTCCAGAGGAAAGTTATGCAATGGAGTCAGGCACCTACACACTACTAAGGACTTGGTTTGTGGTGTCTAGAAGTAGCAGAATATGCTGCAAAGCAGATGAAAGTAGAGAGAGACACAAATTGCAAACTCCTGCTTCCCTGCATAAGACACGGGAGGCAGGAGAGAAGCAAGGGAGCATTAAGTTCTGGTAGCACAAGAGCAGCTGGAATAGCTCTAGGTCAAAACGATCAACAGAGTAGTAGTTAGTAGCTGAGCTCCAAGAGCTGACACAGCAGACTTTGTCACACAGGCTAGTCAGCCCTCTGCCCAGCTGCTACTTACTTTTACACATACCTGAATCCTGTACACTACAGATCAGCAGTGAAAGCTCACGTTAAGAGGTGTCGTTATGTCCAGTAAGTCTTTAAAAACCAAGTAAGCAAAGTTTTATCCTCTGGTAAGAGGTTTATGGTACAACTATAAAATGTCTGCCTGTATCTAAAGGTGTAAGAAGTACCACATTGCTCAAAAGGCAGTAAAGGCTCCCATGGTGTTTTATTTTCATTTAATTCAAGATCATAAATTACACCTCTGCCCTTTGAAGGCCTCAAAACTTTTATCCTCTTTTACTAACAGCTAAAATGAAGAATTAATCCTAGAAAGAAATTCTAAAACTCACTGCACAGCTGTGCTTTCCAGCAAAGGAAGAGTAACTCAGGATCAAAACTCCTTACCAGGTTTTGTCAGGGCTGCTCTTCTGCTTAGGGAAAGGTAACTCTCCCTGCCCTTCCCCTGCACCCAGCAGTGCCCTTGACCAGAATCGGACTGGGGAAGTACAACAAGAATTGATGGCATACTCATTTCAGCCTGCAGAACATATTTCTGTTGAAGCAAAAGCTCCAAGATCTGATACAGTGACCAGACATAGTCTTAATTGAGATTTCTATCACAGCTCTCCAAACTGACATGTGTAAACCGGTTATATTTATTATTTTAGGAAACAGAATATAACCACAGTTCAAACTTACTTTGAATCCAGTTCATGAAAGCATATTTATGAGTTTGCTCACTTTTGAACCAAGCACTTAAATAGAACCTAGAAACTCATGAGGCCAGTTAGACTTAGGTGCCAAGTGAAAGCAATGCTGGCATAAATATATTAAAACCCCACACCTCTTCTTGTGAGTCATATTCAATAATTAGAATTCTTTTGAAAAGGATACAAGGGTTGTTGTCATCAATGCTGCAGTTGTCCAGGATCAAGGGGATGCCATCTAACTCATAAACCTAAATAAAACCAGAAGTTTAATTTAACAGATGTCTCAACAATATTAATGATGTTTCATGCAAGAAATATGTAAAGACATAGCAGGGACGTTTGCTTCATCAAAAATATTAAACATGTTAAGATAAATTGCAGAGTAAATCTGGTATTATCAACAGCATCACGAAACAGTAACACAAGCAGACACTAATTTCACATTCTTCCTTCATTTAGCGTGTGTTTGACTGAGTTACTGCCTATGTCGAGCTTCTCAAACCAAGCCAGAAAAGCTGCTTATTGACAGCTCATGCTTGCTTCAGAAGGAAGAACCATGAAAATGTGAGTGAAAAAAAACAGGGAAAAAAGCACCAAAAAATACATATACACACAAGTTAGCACGGGGCCATGTGTCTGCTGTATCTCTGTAGCCTTCAAAAGCAATGTGTTACCTGTATGGCCCTAAGCACGAATTGTATCAAGAGACACTGACTTTTTCCTTTTGTTAAGGTGTTCATTATGTTATTAGCAAAACAGCAAAGATGAGATCTGTAATTTTTTATTTTCTATATATACATACACGTGTGAATTCACAAATTACATTAAAACATTACTGTCTGTGGATGAGTTAATATCAGAATATCCTAACAGAATATCCACACATACATATACATCCACACTACCAAGAACCCAGGACAAACCGATGTTATCAATAAACATTTAACATAACTATCTTAAGAAAAGTATATTCCTTAAGAAATTTATCTAGATTTCTAAGGTACACTGTCACACCATACATCATCAGGCATATTTACAACTTAAGAAAGTGTTACTTATTTAAATGAAAAGTGTTCTAATTATCTGCAAAATTTCAACCTTGGAAATACCGTCTTAAGGCATATAAGCATTTTATTTTTAAATTAAAAAAGTAGTTTCAAAAACATTTGAGAGCGTAAGGATTAACTGATTACATTCTTTAAGTCACTCGGACACTGTCCTGGACAACCTGACCTGCATTTAAGCAGGGGGGTTGGACAAGAGATTCCTCCAGAAATCCCTTCCAACCTCAACCATTCTGTGACAGCCAAATGGTACTTGTCAAAATCCTGAAACTCTTGAATTCCTTAAAATTTAGTTTAAAACCAAGAACTGGGCGGAAAAGGAATTCAGACAGAACGTCAAATGAGGTTGCGGCTTGATGATGGGATTCCCTCTTCCATCTTTTTTTGCCCCAAATAAGATGTGATTTTATGTACCACGTAAAACAACAGATCACAAAGTTTACCCTGCAGGATGGTTCAGCCTTCCGAAACGCAAGTTTTGTCATAAGAGAGTAAAGTTGGGTAGGAAGAGATTCAGATGTGAAATCCAAAACAGACTATGGATCAGTAAAACTGAATTCAGAGACAAATCTGAGCACATCCCTCTTACAAGTTCCTTTCCGGATAATCTCGTTGCAGACTCTCAAGCTATAACATGAGAAAGTAACAGAGCTGGATTTACACCAAGGCTTACACGTGAAAAAAGCAAAGAGCATTGCCAGCTCTTAAGACCTAACTGGCACATCTGTGCTAACACACATAACTATACTTACATCAAATACATAACTATACTTACATCAAATACAGGTTATAACACAAGTTTTAAAATATTAATTTTTTCCACAAAATTTCTGCGTTCCCTCCAAAGGTCATGCACCGTGTATGATATCATACTTCAAAGCTTGAACAAACTGACCTTTCAGTAATATAGTACTTGCACGTGCTTGGGAAACATTAGTTCTTTGATTTTCATGCTGCAGCCAAACTCTGATATGCCTACAATGTTACCTTTATTTTTCATCGGTGAAATGCTGAACGGTACAAATTAATCTAGATTAAGTGCTGTCAACTGAAATAAACCATGCAATCTGTTCCAGTTCGATTCAAACGAGACATTCGGTTAACAGAGTAAGTAAATATCCAGGGAAAATAAAATTTTAATTAAAATCCACACATGCTTCAAAAAGTTACGGCAGGAATATAATGAGATTCCTTCCAAGTTAAGTAGGAACAGAAGCAGCAAACCACAGCCTTAGTGATACCTTGACGTAAAAAACAGTTGCTACCTACCACTGCCTTACACACCCCACAAAGAGTGCCTTGAACATTGTATAATTAAACTGTACATATAATTTGACCGAGTTAGGCATCGCTTTTGTCACCATGACATCAGCTTTACTATGTCACCTGTGACTTATTACACAGTGAAATGAACCAAGGAAAAGAAACACAGAATCACAAAATCCCTCAGGTTGGAAAAGCCCCTCGGGATCATCGAGTCCAACCCTCAGCCCGACTCTACAAAGTTCTCCCCTACCCCACATCCCCCCACAGCTCATCCCAACGGCCCTGAAACCCCCCCAGGGATGGGGAATGCCCCCTCCCTGGGCAGCCTGTTCCACTCTCGGACCACTCTTGCTGGGAAACATTTTCTCCTCCTGCCCAGCCTGACCCTCCCCTGGGGCAGTTTCCAGCCGTTCCCTCTTGTCCTGTCCCTGATCCCCTGGGAGCAGAGCCCAGCCCCAGCCTCTCTGCAATGTCCTGTCAGGAGCTGCAGAGAGGGATGAGGGCTCCCCTCAGCCTCCTCCTCCTCACCCTGAACACTCCCAGCTCCTTCCCTGGATCCTCACAGGATTGACTCTCCAGCCCTTCCCCAGCCTCGTTGCCCTCCTCTGCCCTCGCTCCAGCCCCTCGAGATCTCTCTGGGATTGAGGTGCCCAAACCTGGACACAACCCTCCAGGTGTGGCCTCATCAGTGCAGAGTACAAACCTTACAATATGTCCATCCAAGACAAATCCATATACTTCTCAGAGTGACTCGTGAGGCAAAGAGCTGATTCCTGAGTGACCAGTGCTAGAGAAGTTCCAGTCCATGCCAGCTGTTCCTGAAGCACCCTTCATCCACTGAAACGGCATTTTATGGCAACCTAAAATTCATGCCAGTGGACTGTGATGATCTGGGCTGCAATGTGAGCCAGTTCAGCCATTGCTCTGCACGTAGAGGAGTAATTTCTGCAATGTGAGTGCCACAGACAGTCAAAGGAAGGAATCACTGTCCCCCACCAGGCTGTCCCACTTCTATGGTGAGAGTCTCAAATCTTCTCACTCTCATCCGCCTGTAACCTCCCATATCAGCAGATTTTCTAAGTATGAAAAACCATCATCCCAGGTCTCAACCTCTTACACAGATTTATTCAGAGTATACTGCCCAACACAAAAAGGTTACCGAGTTTTTCCAACTCATTACTGGCCTCGAAGTTTTTCCTTTGAAGAGGAATGTCCATGAAATGCACAGCGCACAGTAAGGCAGCGGAGCTTTTCGGGGATCTTCTGCAGGGCTTGGGAAAGGAGTCAGGATTGCACAAGCCTCGAGTCTCACTTTAAATAAGGTGCAAAAATATCCTACGAGGAAAGCATGTAGGGGCTGGTGTGAAACTGGCTGTAATCCATCCAGATTCTGGAAGAAACTAGAGACAGAAACTGAGGGATTCGACAGTTGTGGTGTCTGTCTTGTAAACATAGTTGCTCACACTGGCCTGTGATACGAAAGATCAATAAACCTCTTCTCTGTTTAGATTATTGACAACATAGTTGGCCAATAACACAGAACTGCACCGGACTGTAACAAAACCACAAGGTTCTTTTATTATGAAGAACTGTATTACTTTACACTGAAATAGCAAATGAAGCTGCAACTTATGTGTAAGCTGAAATCTTGACCACATTTAAGTTAACTACAAAGGTTAAGACAAGTTTAAAATGAAAGAAATACAGCCCTGTGCTAGTGATCTCTAGTGCTTCAGTCAAGCCAGTACCAAAACTTTTGCACTAATGTTATTGCCAGTTTCTGAAATAGATTTCTAAAAAGCAGAAAAATAGAACATTCAGCATTCAATGGCAGGTATTCGTCTCAGCTAAAAAAAGAGATATTTTTCACAACACAGCTTTATATTGCTGTCCCGCTTGTTTTCTGTACTTGCCTTCAAAACGTAATGAAGATCAGTATCACACCAGTGAGAAATTGAAATGTACTGTACTTAAAATAAGATGGCTTTCCCAGTGACCAAGTAACTGATAGGTTTTTACTCTTTCTCTGTACCTGGAATTTAAGAATCCATTTCAATTCCTTAAACCAGACTCTAAACAGAAGCCCCTGTAGGCAGAGGTGCTACATAAGTATTAAACAAGAGCTTACAAAAGTGACCAGCCCAGATCGTATATTCCCATCGTTCTCACGACCAAGGCACAACATAGCGCTTTATTCAGACGGTTAGGGACATGTCAGTCCATCACCAATGAAAATATTCAGACCAAAATTAAAGCTTTCATGTTATCTTACAGAATTCACATTTATTGACCAATATATAAATAAGGTCAGTAGCATAATTAAGGATAACTGCCTGAACTATTGATTCTGAAAATCAGAACTACTTCCGATAATCTCCCAGTTAATTATCATTAGCTCAATTATTCACAGCAGAGCCCAGGAAAAGCATAAATTAACCATAGACTGTTTCTTGAATCTTTCCCTCTAGCAGCAGTGGAGCCAAGCTCAGGGGTAAGAATTCAAATTCTCCGAGCATGACAGTGCTTGTTGCTGAATCTGCGTGCATCTACTAAAACGCAACTTCAGTCTCCAGGTCCGGCAACTGTACAGACAGCAACAGAACACCTCCAGCAAAAATCATCTCTTCAAAGAATCATTAACATTCAGGCATTAGTAACATTACCTAGTCAAGTAAAAGAGCACTGTTCTGCAGAAAGAACATTTATGCTTTTAGATAACAACAACGTGAATATAAATTATTCTTCCACCAGAACACAACCAACTCTCAGTCCTGGATCGATGCAGAAGGCAGAATGACAAAAGTGTTTGTTTCAGCCACAGAAATGCTTCTATTTCTTACAATTCTGGTTGGTCTAACTCTAGATAAGCAAAAGGAAATGTGTTGTCCTGAAGTGGACTACTAACAGTCTGAGTAATC